TTTTTTTTGGCTTTTCTGTACCAGGGATTGAACTCAGGACCTTGCCCTTGCCAAGCAGGTGCTATGCCACTGAGCTAAATCCCCAGGCCTTTATATGTATACTCATTAACTTAGTAACTTGCACTGTCACCTAGCTTGTCACCCTGATCAAAAATTTTAAGGTGCCCCAGGCTCTTCCTCCATAGGCAAACATCTTATGGCCACACTTCATTGCCTCGTGTCCTTCCTGGCTCAGTGCTTCTTCTCTGCCAGGCCCATATGATGGGATCTTTCTCCTCCTTTCCACCCTGCACACCCTGTCCTGCTATCTTTCCTCCCGGCTAAGACATCTGTCAATGCCTCTCTGTTATAAATCCCCATGCTGGCATTCGAAGCTGTCAGCAAACAGTCCATGTTTAAGATCTGGTTGCTGAAGCTCACAATCTATACCCGTCCAGTCAGTTGAGTAACTCAAACTTCCTTACACTTCCTACTCCTCCATTTTAATCACCCTTCAAAACCACAGCCACCCGTCAAAATCCTGTACCTCCATCGAGCTCATCTTAGATGTCCCTCTCTCTTCCGCTCACATCTCCAGAGCAGAGGTCTGTCTGATTTATGGCACTTGTTGTAATGTGTTGTTATTGCATGAACACTTGTCTGATACTCTTCCTAATCAGCATATATCCTCTTGAGGTTAAGGGCCACTGGTTAGCCACCATTACCCATGGCATCCTATCTTGGTCCTCAGGAACACAACTGTTGGTCAAATTGAGACGGGACAGGGGACTGGCTTCATGTGCCTCTAAGGCTGTTTACCATGGATATTCAGTGCAGGCACAGGAAACAGAGCTCAGACCAACACTGCTGCCTCTTAGGGGTATCCTGGGCATTTTCACAGTGAGAGGTATCTCTGGGGAGGGCGAGCTTTCTGGCACCCACCCAAAGTTTGAATAATTCACTGCTTCCTGCCTTGGCTCTCCAAGTGCCAGGCTCACATAGATTGCTGTGCAGTTTTTAGAAAAGAACATGTTGGATATTTGCTGCCATCTAGTGAAGGAAGTGTAGTTCAACCTCAAGCAGAAGCTGTGTGCCTCCCAGGAGGTGGCTCCAGGAATCCAGTCTTGGCCAAACAAAACCATATGCGCATGGACAGATGTACGTGAGGACAGCTGGAGCTTCTGCACCAAGCAGATCACGTCCACTTCCCTGAATATTGGTGTGGAATGGGCAAGACCACGTCCCTCCAGATCCTCCTCCACCTCCAGAAAAGAGGAGCTCATATTGGAATGATGAGCAGTCATCTTTTCAAGAAAACTTGGTAATGATCTATAGAATTCTCAGTGATCACAATCAGAGGCATCATTTAGGAAAGCCACAGGTCATTCCAGTGCATGGAGAACTTGGTGTGACTTTAGAACCGTGGCCCTCCAAGTCCTGCATACAGCCCTGCAGTCCATCTCAAAGATTTCCTGGTCCTGGAACTGCCTAATCCTTCATCATTAGCAGAACACAAAGCTCCAGTCTACCAGCTGTGTGAGTGTGTGCAAGGTGCTCAACCTCTCTGAGCCTCAGTTTTCTCATTTTTGAAGGAGGTGTGTCTTATACTTACTGGCTTGCTACATGTTCCAGTGAGATTCCTTAGAACAAATACTTAGCCAGAGCCTGATGCATAGAGGCCACTAGATAAATATTAGATAATGATGTTATTATTATTTTAAATCAGTGCTCCAGAGCACAAACCTGCCTATAACATTCACAAAACTGAGGGCCCAATCAGTCATTGAAAATAATCTCCAGTTCATCACAGGGTGCAGGTCGGAGGCTCAGGCCTCAGATCCCAGGCTGCTGACAGACACATCCACTCTCCCCACCTGTCTCAGTACAGGATTCCAGGTCTATTTCTGTGAGGTCTTCCTCTACCCTAGAGTGTCACAATCCAGGCACTTCCGGGACTAGAAGTCTAATGCCGAGTTTAATGTCAGGGTGGGGGTGGGGGCATCTCTAATATTCAGGGAAGTCCTGGGCTCCTCTTGGGGCCATGCCCTCATGATAGACCTGGGTTTTTCTCTGAGCTGCAGTTCATACAGACATTCAGCCAGAATTTAGCACAGGTCTTTCAAAGGGCTAAAATTACTGGCTGACCACTCTATCTCATGACTCCCCAGTCTTGTAGCTGAGGTGTTGCTAAGCAGTGCTCTCTCCATACAAGGTGCCCATTGCTGAAATTTTAGCCAGAGTCAAGTGGAGCTTCTTCACTGGTTCCAGGAACAAAGGGTGTGCTGGAGCCTTCTCAGGCCTGCTCTCAAGAATTCAGTGTGCACATCTCCTCCTGGTTCCATGTCCAGTGACCTTATGAAACAAGTCACGAGGGGAGATTCCATCACAGAAATCAGGATGGCTTTCTGCAGCTGAAGAGCCAATGTTAAACACTTACCAGACAGACTGCTGATACAAGTCTTTAATTCCAAACAAAGAGCTATATTAAACTACTACTCACACAACTACCAAACAAGGGGAAAATATTAGTGTTCTAGCAGGGTATAGAGGTACACATTAGTCATCCCAGTATTCTGGGAGGCTGAGGCAGGAGGACCAAAAAACTGATGGCCTTACTTCCAAAATTGCTATATAGATTCAATGCAATCCCAATCGAAATCCCAGCAGCATACTTCACAGACCTGGAGAAAACAATCCAAAATTTCATTTGGAACAAGAAGAGACCCAGAATAGCAAAAGCAATTCTAGGTAACAGAGACATGGCAGGGGGTATTACAATCCCCAACTTGAAACTCTACTACAAAGCTACTGTGATAAAAACACCATGGTACTGGCAAAGAAACAGACCTGAGGACCAGTGGAATAGATTAGAAGATGCAGAAACAACGCCAGACACACTCAGCCACCTCATCTTTGACAAAGGAGACAAACACCCTCACTGGAGGAAAGCTAGCCTCTTTAATAAATGGTGCTGGAAACATTGGGTTTCAACTTGCTAAAGACTAAAATTAGACCTATATCTCTCACCATGCACTAAACTAAAATTGAAATGGATTAAAGATCTAAATATAAACACAGAAATGCTGAACCAGCTGGAACAGAGGTTAGGTAGAACTCTTGAAGACATTGGGGTAGGAAAAGACTTTATGAACAAAACCTCAGTTGCCAGTGAACTAGCACAAACAATCAACAAGTGGGATCTCTTCTTATTAAAAAGCTTCTGCACAGCAAGAGAAACTACCAACAGTCCAAAGAGACAACCCACAATGTGGGAAAAAATTTTCACCTGCTGTTCCTCAAAGGTCTACTATCTCGAATATATAAAGAACTTAAAAAAATCAGACCTCCCCAATTTAAAGACCCAACCCAAAAATTGGCATCTGAAATGAACAGACATTTCTCACACAAAGAAGTAGACATGGCAAATAAACACATGAAAAAATGTTCAACATCACTGGTCATTCGAGAGATGCAGATGAAAACAATGCTGAGATTCCACCTCACTCCCGAAAGAATGGCTGCTATCATGAAATCAACCAACAACAAATGCTGGCGGGGCTGTGGGAAAGATGAATCCTGTTCCACTGCTGGTGCAGTGTAGACTGGTGCAACCACTGTGGAAATCAGTATGGAGATACCTCAAAGAACTAGGACTGGAAGTCCCATTTGACCCAGCTATTCCCCTGCTGGGGATCTTCCCCAAAGAATTAAAAGAATCATACCACAGTGATATATGTACACCCATGTTCATAGCAGCACAGTTTGTAATAGCTAAAACTTGGAAACAGCCCAAATGCCCATCAACTGGAGACTGGATCAAGAAAATGTGGGTTTTTTATAAAATGGAGCACTATTCAGCCTTCAAAAATGAGAAATTAGAGACATTTATTGCTAAATGGGTGCACATTGAGGCAATACTCTTAAGTGAAATAAATAGGACACACGTGTAAATACTGAATAATTTCTCTAGTGTGAGAAAGTGAAAGTGTAAATAAGGACTACAAGGTATAACAGATAATGTGAAATAGGAAGAAAAGGGGCAAAGGGGAAGGGGAAGTGGGAGGGGGAGGGGAAAGGAAAGAAGGGAATGGAATTAATATGAGAAAATGAAAAAATGGAAACAAAGTCTTTGTAAATAGGGAGGGATGGTGGGGTTGAAGGAAGGGCAGGGGAAGGGGGAAAAATAAGACCAAGAGAGTATGTAAAGGTGCAAATTTCCAATGATGAATGTCATTATATTGTACACCTAAAATGTACCAATAAAAGGATATACAAAAAATAAATAAATAAAATAAAGTTGTTGGTGTACTATTAAAAAAAAATTGATGGCCAGCTTGGGCCACTTAGTGACTTAGCAAGACGCTGTCTTGAAATAAAAAATTTAAAAAGGGCTGAGGATGTAGCTCAGGGCAAAAGTCTTGGTTCAATCTCCAAAATTACCAAACAACAACAACAACAACAACAAATTAGTGTACTATCTCAATGATATGTAAACTGAAAAATCTTTATTTATCTATTTATTTATTTGTTTGTTTATTTGTTTACAGAGATTGTAGCTTGTGAAAGATAGGGTGCTGACTGACAAGCCTGTAGTTTTGAGACACACCCAAAGTACGAAATGTTCCATATATATACATCTGTAATGAGCTATTCCTCTATTGGCAGGTTTTGAATTTTCACTTGGCATGCAAAAATTCTCTATGTGACAAACTACATACTTGCATCAGAAAAACATTAAACAAAGATATTGGCTAGTGTACCTAGAAACTATTTAAATTTTTAATGTGATTTTGTGTTTTTTGTTTTGTTTTTACATAATTTGATGCAGATTTCAGCCTTCACACTAGCACTGATGTCCTTTGCAGCCTGTTCTTGGGTCTCCTTCCTTATTAAATAGTACCAGTGGTTAACAGTCAGCCAGCCTTATCTTAAATCTCTGCAAGAATTATTTAAAGTGAATACTGAAACCTCGCTTCTTATGGCCAGAAAAAAAATAAATGGCTAGTTCAGTGAGTTGCCTGCTTGTTCATACACTGAAGCTGGAGACAAGTGTGCAAGCTCTGAGGTACAGGTGGAGAGAAGAGGTTCAGTCATAATGCACCTTGAGCTTGGCCACTTCAGAGCCAGACAGGTCTCCATTGCTGAGTGTCTGGAGGGGTGAAGGAGGCCTGGCCTCCACAGCACACTTGGTCATATTCACCATGTACTTCCGAAAGGCCTTTTGAATAACAGCAGCACCTTCTTCCTCTGCCTTTCTCTTGGTGGTAGTGACTATGGGCTCATATAACTTCTTGAAAGGGTTGGCTTCCGTGAACTTCTCCTCCATCATTGTTTTCATAGTATCCAGGCCACTGGAGTCACCGAGGACCCTGGTGGTGAAAGCAAAGAGAATGTCCATGCAGTGGAGGCGATCTCCACTTACCATAGGCAAGTCCATTACTAGAAATTGGAATTTATTTGGTTTTGCCACACGCAGAGGCTCAGGCAAGGCATCAGCAAAGTCAGAAAGGGCAGAATACTTGATAAACTGTGTTGCTTCGGGGTCAAACTTCTCCCAGATCTCATAGAACATTTCAAAGTCATCTTCACACAAAGGCTCCTCACTTTCTTCAGTGGCTACATTGAAATTCTCTAGAATCACAGCAATATACATGTTGACAACAATGAGAAAGGAGATGATGATGTAACTGACAAAGTAGGCTATGGCTACACCATGGAGGTAAGGTTTGTCTGGGGAGTTAGGTCCCAGCATGGGGTTAAGGAGAGCATCCCAGCCTGCTGATGTGGTTATCTGGAAGAGACAGAGCATGCTGCCTGTGAAAGTATCAAAGTTGAATATATCATCAATTCCACCTTTTCTCTCTATTTTGGAAAAACAGTTCATACCAAAAATGGCATAAATAAACATAACCAGAAAGAGTAGAAGACCGATGTTGAATAGAGAGGGAAGGGACATCATCAGAGCAAAAAGGAGAGTCCTGATTCCTCGCGCTGCCCGAACAAGTCTCAGGATGCGGCCAATTCGAGCCAAGCGGACAATTCTGAAGAGTGTTGGAGGAAAAGGAATGGTCTTGCTTTTTCCCACTAAGGTAACCAGTGTACCTGGAGAAGAAGGGTTAATGAATTTCCATTAGGCATACTGGTTTCAAACCCAGTCCAATTTCTGCCTCAGAATCCTAGGAGGGCCAACTTTTTATTAATATTTGGTAATTTGTACACAAAATTAAGAATTTTCTTTCTAATATCAGGGAAAATATCTATCAGTGCCTTAGCTTGAAAAATAATTTCCAAGAGTCATACAGTTTTAAGTAGGACTTTCAATGGTATAGAGTGCATAAAATATTGAAATAATCAAGGAAAGGAATGCAGTTTATGAATGGCTATTTTGTGAATTATCGTATGTACTTGAAGTATATTACCCATGTTGGATTTTTAAAAGCCACTCATGAGGTAACAAATGGAGTAGTTCTCCATATAAAAAGGAAAATAGATGAAGTCCATATTGAGTCCTTTAGATTACCATACAAGGAGAATTCTACTATTTAGAGGTTGGGTTGATCCTATGTTGCCAGTTGAAATTGTGGAATCCTTAATTCCAGAGTTCCTTAAAAGGGACCAGCTTTTATTTGTTTAGAGAAATTTCAATATAGCCCTGCTACAGGTGAGAAAGCTTATTTGATGAAAGGTCCACACATGGAGGGGGGTCACAGTATTGGGATGCTCATCTTTAGACTAAAACTGCTTGTGAATCTCACATTCATCAATATTATCGCTCCAAGAACTTTTGAGTCTAATCTCACAAAGCTTAAGGCATGAACTCGAGAGATATTCTCTCTCTTGTGGACACCCCAGAAATGGCATCTCAAGCAGAGCTTTGGGAAAACAGCTGAATATTTGGCCTAAAATGTCACCTGTTCTCTCTACAGGCAAGTGACACAAGGATTTAAAGTAACTTGCATTTTGGCCAACATATCTAGAATGCCTGGAACGTGCTTGACTTGTATAGATATGGGTTTGTTCTTGTTCCGAAGGCCTTCTAAGGTCATTAGGGGTCACAAGCAGTGAAAATGCTTCTGCTATCACCTAATGAGAAAAGAGATCTAGTGGATGATAGACTTCACTGGTTGCCCAATTGTGCCAAAGTTTAATTCATTCATTCACTGGGCAGTTGACCCCAGCACGACCTGAATGTATTAATATTCAGCAACATTTATTCTTTAAAGCCTCATATCTTTTCCTTAGATACTTTTTCCACTAATAGAGCCCACAGAATGCTGTTCATTTGCTGAGCTCTGTTCAATTAATTTCCCTATCTCTTTCTGATATTTTAAGATAAGTGAATTTTAATACCTCAACTGGATTGTTAACTCCTACAGAGAGGTTCATATCAACCCATACTCTTTTTTATATTATTCTTAAAGCTTTGGTAGGAGCTTGGGAAAATGTCAAGGCTAAGAGCTGGATGGCAGACGTGCTGGCAAAGGGACATAAACTTTTGCTCACACTGGTGAGTAGAATTTGGCTTACTGTGTGATTTTCTCATCCATTGGTGCAAATGCTATACACTATGTGTAATTGCAGTGGTCTATTAACTGTTCAAAAGATAGCTGTAAGATGTTTCCTTAAACTGCACAACACCTGGCAAGGCCTGGAAGGAGTGGGGGAGTGAATGAACCTTTTTGTCTATTGGAAGAAGGGCTCCTTGAACTCCCAAAGGGGCTGCCCCAGACTCATCCTACCACCATTTTCTGACTTCTATTGTTACTGCCAGTTTCACCAGAACTTGGGATTGGAACTGACTAATAAAGATTAAGGTCTCTCTAACTGAACATGTGGGAAGATCTATTGCTGAGCTTTACCTACATAAACTTCATGGCTTAGAAACCAAAACAGACTATGGACTGCAGCACTCTTTTGATCTCTGATATATCTTCATTGCTGTAATACCGTCAGGAACCAAAATATTTTGATTCAATGTATCTATTTCATGCATCCTGTCTGAGACTGGACAAAACCATCTATTTTTGAAATCAGTTTTACTTGTCTTCACTAGTTTTTTAACCGTGAGAAGGGCTCCTGAGCAGTTTTACATAATTATAAAAAGTCAAATTAATGTTTTAATTAAAATTAGACTTCAAAACCCAAAGTAAACTCTAATGATTTATCCATAAAGAATTGCAAAGTTGTGTGTGAGTGTATGTTTTATAAAAGGGTATATGGCAGGCATTGAGGTTGTAGCTCAGTGGTAGAGAGTGCATGCTTAGCATGTACAAGGTTCTGGGTTTGACACTCAGCACACAAACACAAAAAGGGATATGGTAATAACACTCTTTCTCCTCTATTCTTATTCCATAAACCATACAGTTTAGGTAACCTATCTATGGTTAGAGAAAATGTAGTGATTATAAAATGAGGCTGGTTGTTGAATGGATTCAAGGCAGTTGAGACAAGCATAGTTTACAATATGATTGAAATGAGTGTGGGATTCAGAATAAAGAGAAAGTACTGCTTGTTTGTATCAGACACTCTTAGAAGCCCAAACTTAGTGGGCTGTGGGCCTGTATAAGCAGGAGGGGAAGCCCAGTAATTGTGATCTGGGATCCGTGTAGGTTTTGAACAAAAGAAAAACATGGATACCAAATGCCATATCCCTAAGTCTATAAAATGTTCATTAGACCTCAGAGTTGCGCAGGGAAGGTAGAACTTTGATTGACTTACTTGGATAGGTCAAATGCCACCACATAACTTCTAAGTTATATTCATTTTGTATATCACTATTGAATAAATCTTGTTCAGTTGTGTACACAGTCAAGGGAATGGAAAATATTCTGTATTTTTTAGCAACTTCCCAGTAGAGAATGGCATTAGTACATCTATTTTTTTTTCAGAAACCACACAGAGCCTATCTTGTTGCTTTGAGAATAGTTTGGATATACTTCAAAAGGGTGATATTTGCAGGCTTACTTATAGGTCTCAGTTTAAATCCCTTCTGGCTGCTGAGTTTACTTACTTATGATAGAAAGAACCACGACCACACAATCAAATAAATTCCAGCCATTGATAAAATAATATTGCCTCAAAGCAAACACTTTGATGAGACATTCTACTGTAAAGATGGTCACAAAGACTGTGTTGAGATGTTCAAAGACTGAGTCTGTGTCTGGGGATTGGTCTCGTGTCTCAACCATCATACAAACCATGTTTAGGACAATGAGACTCATGATGAAGACATCAAAGACCTGGTGTGTGACCAGGTCAAACACAAGACCTTGACATTTGTTCTGAGGAGAGAGAGAGAAAAAAAGAAGATATCACTGATCATTTTGAGTTTTAATAATGAAATTGCATACGTTAAAAAGGCACATTTATACAGCAGAATTTGTTCTTTCTTACAATTAAGGTAGTTCCTTGAAAAATACCCAGACATTTCTCAAAGCACAAAAAATTCTTATAGGTCCCCAATGTTGTCTTATTTTCATTTAAATTTAGTTAAACAGGGGGCTTCAATTAAAGTGTTTAGGCTTATAGTTTTAATTTCACAGGAAAACCAAACTACAGATTAAAAATCTTACTAGCAACATAACTTTCATGTGATAGAGGATGCTATTTTATTGAAATAAAACAGCTCATGTTGGCTTTAATACTAAGAATATGAACCCAGATCTCTAAATTTCATCTGTTTCTGATTTTTTACTTCAATAATATTAATGCAGAAAATATGTTACTTAAGTATTTTGGAAAAAATAGAATGAACAGCTCCAAGGCTCTGTTTGCCAGTTCAGAATAATAACTTATATTTAACCAAACTTCTGTATTCCACTTTGTATTAACTGAAGTCCTCTGTTTAACTAATTAAATTCTGGAATACCAATTTTCTAATTCATGCTAGAAATGGCTAGATAGATGACATTCTAATCCAATGATTAATAAAAATGGAAACAATAAAACTGGTTATATCCTATCATTATCGATGGTGAACTTGCATATTGGTTTCTATGTAGACAGCCATGCTGCCTGCAATGTGGAGGTTGTTCTGGTCCAGGTCCTGATTCTAAGTTGCATACCTAATCAATCACGTAAAGTGAAATGACTTGATTATCCCACTATTTTCTTTAATATGACTTCTACAAGGCACTTCTTTTGTTCTTGACAGAATGGAAACTGTTCTTAAACACAAATTCACACGCTTACATTGGATGGCATTCATGACTATACATTGGTTGTTTTATAATACATGTATATTTATTATTTTTATTATAATGTATGTACATGTATATGGATTATTTTATATTATTGTCTAATCAACATATGTATTCACTGCTCTATTTAGAGAACTGATGAACCCCTAAGAATACATCTTTAGACCTTCCAGGGATCTATTATGGTAATCTGTGCAAGAAACTGTATTGGTTTGTAGTGGTAACAGTAAAGATACAGCATGTAGGTTTAAAAGCTAATGTGGAGGAGAAGCAAGAACAGTCAGTGTTGAATGTAAGGAGCTATGGAGAGATAAGGCTGAGGCTATTGTTTCTGGCTGGTGGATCCATTTAACAACTAGAAAACAGAGTATAAGGAGTTTTCAGGGAACTAGATATGAGACCTGTTTTGAAGACTGAGTTAGAGGTGCCAGTGGAGCACCTAAGGGCCATGAGCAGGTACAAATAGGTATGCAGTGCAGGTCCTGGAATGAAGGTGTGGGTTCAATGACATCAACACTGATATGACTCTAAGTCATGACAGTGAATACTGCCATTCCGGGAGAGCAGAGGCAATGAGAAGAAAGGGGAGGAGTAACACTCCAGGGACACTACATTTACATCAGTAATTTTTAAACTGTGTGCTAAGAGCTCTAGGCTTTTATTAAGGAGCCAGGAGCAGTCAAGTGCATTTCCTATGTGAGAATGCATCTGGGAAGTTAGCAAAGAGATGGAAAAAGATACTCCAGAAATAGAAAATGTAAGAAGAAAAATGTAAGGAAGGTTAAGTGTTGGCCTATAGTTAGTCCTAACATTTAGACAAATGGAGATTAGGAGCATAAAGTACCTAAAGCTTTAGATGATCAAAAAGCATTCCATGTCACCTCAGAATGTGCAGTAACTCCTATACCTCAGTGTGATTTTTAATCCAAATAATGAAGCCGCCTTGTGGGGCTGCATCAGGAAAAATCAGAAATGATTCCAAATTCCTTCCTGTATTGCTAGAAATAAAATGCATCAACACTTGGGCTAGTACAGCTGAATTTTCCTCCCTGTGTTATTGTCATTTCTATTTCTTTGTTCCAAAGATCAAACTATCGTATTTAGATTTTAGAGATTAAAAAAAGGTCTGGGGAGGTAAAGTTGTGAGTAAAGGACTAACAGGTAACTTGAAGTCTTAACTCAGATTCAGGGACATCTGGGAATATGATTCTGGTTTATCTCATGTCCCATTGCTCTCTGGAATATAAAAGTTAAGATAAATGTGCAGCCTTAACTGGTGAGATTGTACCTGGTTATCAGAAACCTTCATTGAATGTTTGATTAGTGAATTGTGGCTACATGGGAAGGACAGTGGTTTGGTGCCTGCTTCTAGGTGACCACAGAGATAAACATGCTATGAAAGATGGTTAAGAAGTGGAGGTGGCAACTTTCCTGAGAATAAGTGGTCCATGCCCACTTTAAGTTGATGCCTTGTTGCCCAGCATGCCCTGTGCACAGCAAGGGTCAGGAAGCTGTATCTGTGCTGCACCTTCTGTTTGTCTGTGTGGTGCTGCATTGCTTGAAATAAACTAGTAAATATGTGGGAACATACTGCATCTTGTGAGTCTTTGAATTGATTCTAATCCCTGGGCAAAATGGTAGTGCATCAGTGGTTGTATAGAATGCACATGTAAACAAAAAGTCTTTATGTTTTTTGTTGTCTCAAGTTCAAATAGAACATTGAAGTGAAAGTATTACTAGAAAGTGAGAGCAATATTTTAAAGCCAGATTCGACTCAGGTAAATTGAAGTTTCATATATTGTTGACAGATTAAACTTCTCCAAATAAAAGTTTATCTTTAATCCTGTGGCCAAAAAAGCCCTCACTGTATAAAGGATAAATTCTAAATACTTGGCCATAACATTCACAAATAATTTTATTTTTTGGCTTAAATTCTTTTATTGGTGCATTTTAGGTATACAGTACATTTACATTTATCATTGGGGCGCTTGTACCTGTACATGATGTATCTTGGTTCTTATTTTTTCCCCATTCCCTACACTCCCTTCACCCCTCCACCTTTCCCTATTTACAAAGACTTTGTTTCCATTTTTTCCTTTTCTCATAATTTTTCCTTTTCCTTCGACAAACATTTTTAATGTAACACAAATATTTAATCCTAGTGAGATGAACTCTGTGCTTAAAATATGTACTTCATTTACCAAGTGATTAATGAAAGCATACTTTATGCCAGGTTCTTTATTGATGCTGGGAATATCAGTGCAACTTTGATCATTTTGGATTTCATGTTCAAATGAAAATCTTCAAATCCTCTGCATGCTTCAGATTGCAAACCTATCTTCTATCCTGCTCTCTCCAGTTTTTAGTCCCCACTGGTCCTCCTTGTCATGAAAGCATTCAAGCTTACTGGTCAGAACTATAAACTATGTGTGCTATATTACTAGTTACAAATATCTTAACTGAATTGCTTGGGACCAGAAATAGATTTTGGATTTTAGAATATTTGCATATGCTATAAAATAAAACATCTTGGGGATGACACCCAAATCTGAATATGAAATTTATTTATGTCTTATACATGCCTTACACACAGAGCCTGAAGGTAATTTTATACAATATTTTCAGTGCACCTATATTTTGTGATCTACCACATAAGGTCAGGTGTGGGGTTTTCCATTTGTAGCATCATGTCAACAACCAAAAATTTCAGATTTGGGGTTTTTGGTCTAGGGGTGCTCAGTCTGCAGTTTATAATCCATTGTTCTCAAATGTGTATACAGTATGGATCCATCTCTCCAGTTAAATCTCAAGCACAGAGCAGCACTGATACTTTTATCTTGACCTATAGCACTTGATAAAGTCAGATTCAAAGAGATCAAGGGTCTGCAAGTTAGGGCCCACAATTGAAATCCAGCCAAATTCCTATTTTTGTTTTACTTTGCCCATGAACTCAGAAAGGCTTCTGCATGTTTAAATGTTCAGGGGAAAAAAATCAAAAGGAGAATAAATTTTGTGACACATGAAAATTATATGAAATTCAAATTTCTGTGTCTATAAACATAGTTGTGCTAGATCATAGGCAGACTGATTAGTTCTTTGTCTACTTTATGCCACAATAGCTGGGTACAGTAGTACAGGAGCAGTGGCAGAAACCATAGGGCCAGGAAAGACCAGAAGGCTTACTGTCTGGTGATTTACAAAAAAGCTCCCCATCCCCTGATACTCAGAGTTATTGTAAAGACTTCTGAAGTCTTTACATCCTCACATCAGTCACCTCATTCACACTTGTAAAGGATATTATAAATACATTTTAAACTAGTTAAGTTCAAACAACCTGCTAAGTTTGTGTCATGGCAATGTGTATATACTAAACACCTACTATGAGTTTACCAAAAATTACAGTTCTTCTCCCGGCTAATACTAACAAATATGAATATTTATTTTTCTTAAGGACTTGAGTGTATCTGGGTTCTTGAGTTCTTAGATAATGTATTTAATTTTAAAACTTCTGCAAAGCCATTCTGTAAACTTGGATGGCTTTGCAGAAATCTGAGTTCCTCATAATTGCTTATCAGATCTATGTATTTAGAATCATTCAATTGCTCTCACCAGAGGCCTTGGAATGGGTTTTAGAGGTTTTTTGGTTCCTAATTTTTTCATTGCATTATAGTATTTCTTCTGTTCTTCTGTCATAAAAATATCTTGGCCACCTAAGTATATGGAGGACATGAGAGCTCATTACCTTTTGGTATCAAGTTCTAAATTTTAGAAACAATTTTAAAATTAGAAACAATTTAAAATTTTAAAATTTATATCAATTGTTTCAAAAATTGCAATAGAAAGCAAAAGAAGTTGGACTCTTAGGGAGAACAAAAAGGAAACAGTTTTTAAGTTAAGGAACAAGGGAAAAGTAAGGTTATTTTATCAGCTATTTTCACATTTTGAAACATAAATTACAGACATCCCACAAAATCTTCATAAAATTAGATATACGTCAGGTTGCATAAATTAAACCAAAATGCAACAATAATAAGAATTAGTGGTGGAGACAAGATGTCAGAGTAGGAGTAGGCAGCAGTTTATAGTTTCTTTATGACCTGGAATCAAGACAGCTAGAAAGCAGATACTCAGTGAGGTGAAAGAGAAGTAGAGGTCCAAGAATAAAGTAAGATATGCCATGAAGTCTAAAAATGACAGAGAAACACAAGGGCAACATAGAGAAAAAGATGAAGGAGCCTGCAACACCAACCCTAGTTCCTTGGTGTGAGGGAAACCCAATTTTGTGAATACAAGATGATCCCACAGAGATCCAGTAGTCTCAATGATAAACAGTCCAGCGGTTCTAACCCCAGAAAAAAATCCACAATTACTACAAACTGTAAACCCAGTGTGGTGTTTTACTCAGCAGGGTAGTTTGGGGGAAGAAACCCACTGCAGTGCTCACCGTATCTCAGAGAGGTATAACCAGGAACCATTTTGAGAGGGCTTATTGTTTGAGACTCAGCTACTCCAGTGAAGTTATGGAACAAATGCACTTCAAGATCCCTGGAGACACCCTGCCACAGTGACTGGGTATGAGATATCTTTGAGAGACAGTCAGGGGAAGGGCAATGCTAGGCACAGGCCCCCTGAGAAGTTTAAGCAGCTGGGTCCTCAGGCTGTGGAGGACACAGTGGTCCTGTCCTCTGTGGTGTGTGGCTTTCTGAGGGGACTGAGTCTAAAACTGCCAGGATCAAGTTCAGCAGATTGTTTGGCTCCCCTCACTGCCCCATTCCAGCACAGAATTCAGTGGTCTGTTTGCTTTCCTCACCTTCCCAGGATTTCAGTGATATATCTCTGCTTGGATGTTTGCCACATCTCTGGGTTTACTAAGGGACTGCTGGAGCAAGTGGGGGCAAATCGCCCACCCACAGGTCACAAAGGTATTTGGGAATAGCAATGGCTAAGGGTGTACCGAAGGACATAAACACTAGAAACCTCTGGGGTGAACACAGCTTTGAGGCAGACGACATATCATTAACTAGCCCCTCCTAGCAGGAAAGGTCCAACAGGACTCAGCATTCATAAAACAACAGCATGTTAGTGGGTTTGGAAACAACAGGCCCCAGTTGTGATTCGCTCTCCTTTCTCCATATATCCAGTAGATTCCAATATTACAGATCTGGAAAAGAAATTTTATTCATCTAAATAGCTTGGTGTGGAGAAATTTTTTGGACTTGTTTTTCTTTTTTCATTTTTTGGCATTTTTCTTTTTTCATTCTTTTATCTTTTTTATTTGTTGTTTTTTTTGCTACTTTTACTTAATTTTATCTGCTTTTAAATTCTTTAATTGTAGTTTCATCTCACTGTATTCTCTTCCTCCTTTTTATATACTTCTTCTTTTTTTAAGGTTCTACTTCTTTAATTTTTCCCTTTCCCTGTCCCCTTCATTTTTATTGTTACTTTATTATTATTGCTTTTAACTTTTATTTTCTCAAGTGACCTTATGTTGTAATATCCCTCTCCACTGGCTATCAGCTGTGTACCAATCTACACCATCTCTATAGCTTAAATATATATTTTATTTGTAATATTTTATCTCTAATATTTTATTTCTTTATAATGAAATCTTTCAAAATCCTTCTAGTTATTTGAAATGT